GCCGCGCGACGGATAAAAAAGGGGGAGCGCGTGCTACGTCCGCTTGACTACTAACCCAGTGACTGGAGCTATACGGAGGGAAAGAGGGACAGATACGACCGATCTCAACGGACTTGACGTTTAGATCTATCGTGTGCTCGTGTACGAACCGAGAGTTCGTACCACGCGACCCTCTTCTCAACCCTTTCGACGTCGCGTCGGTGTTGTTGCACAGAGGACGAAGGGAAACTGATTCTACTAGACTAAGACTGAAAAGACGGATAAGGGCTAACTCGCGTAGAGCTTGTATATCCGGTGGGAGAGAGAAAGAGGCTTAACTGTGTCGGGACGACCGAGGAAGGACAACATTTTAACCATAATAATAGCGTTGAACGATACAACCGCAGGCGAGGACACGCAGTGCGGTACCGAGGAGGTTGCCACCGCCAGCCAGGGAGGCGACCAACTCCAGAGGATGACGATGGACGGCATGGAAGTGGTGGGCTCGCAGCCCCACGCGGCCACCAGCCCGTTTTTGCTCTCACCGCCACCCCTCGGACATCATCATCATCATCCTCATGCTACCTTCAATCTTCAGACAGTGCAGCTTAGTTTCGACGCGTGTCTACCGTACAACGCGGCGACATCCTCGAATTCGATCGTCTGTGGTGTTGGCGGCACGTCAACGCCAGCCGCTACCACTTGCGCCTCGTCCACGAGTTGCAACAAAACGATTCCAACCTTGTCGCTGGCAACTTGCGCGCCCTTGCAAGCCCAGCATCAAAACAATACCGATTCCTCTGATCCCCATGGCCGACAACATCATCATCACCATCATCATCCTCATCAACGACTCGACGACCATCAACATCATCGACACGTCGATGCCTCCTCGCCGTCCAACGATTCCACCGACGGTAAAAGGCATCTGCAGACTGTCAACACCGAGGACAAGGACTGTCCCAGGGAGTGCAGAGACGATCTTCAGGAGCCTAACGAGAAGGATAAACCAGGTGACCTAAACACGCCGGTTACCACCAGCAGCGATTTACCGTCCTTCTTCGGCCCTTCCGCGCTCGTCGAGCCACCTCCTATTTCAGGTACCTACAATCAACAGTCCTTTAACAAAAAAAAAAAAAAAACAAAAAAGAAACAAAAACAAAAAGTTCGATCAGGCAACGATAACTTCTTCTTTTCATCCTTCGTAGTCGTGACGTGGTAAAATAACTTTGTCATCGTCGAGTTTCCTATTAATCGAATCTTTCTCGTATGACAGAGATCCCTTGCGTATGCACGCTTCGACGAGGTCAAATCGTTAAAACGTGTTCCACGATAATCGAATAGCGGAATTCGAAACTCGTCGGACGCGAGACACGTGAAAATAAACGCTCGTCGAACAACGCGCACCAAACCAGTAGTAATCGGCTGTGCGATTCGAACTTCAGCGGCCTTGCACTTGCTGTGTTTCACGAACGTCCCAACTTTCGCTTTCTGCATATCTGCCAACTCCTGCTGCTGCTGTTACCCTCGTGGCTGCGTCAAGCACCCCTTCGAAAATCCGGCTTTTCCGCATCAATTTTCGAAAGTGATCGCGTTGCGAGATCTCGGTCGTCGCGGCCAAGTGCATGATGTGCCAGCGTGACGTATATCGGTTGGCTCTCGCGAAAACGGCTAATATCGAACCTGCCCGCCTGTCGCGGATCAATACTCAGCGACCCCGACATTCAGAAACCCTTCTCCGCCCGTCCCTGCATCGCCGCCGCCTCCACCTCCGCCTTCACCTCTGTCTCCCACCACCCCTTGCCAGTTCATTCATGCTTCCAAGAACCCCCACCTCGTTCATCCGGACCGATACAACCACCCTCCGTTACGCCGATAGTCGTCTTTTCCGTGACTTTCTCGCTAACGAAACGAAGCAGATCGTTCGTTCCCCTTTATCGTTCCGTACACCGTAGTCTCCTCTCTTCTCTCGTTTCCTTCCGCTGTCGCGTTCATTTGCTAGCCGATAATCTATCCGGGCAACAACTTTCGCGCGATTATACATGGCTACGTAGAAATCGTTGATACATTCGGCGCATGACACGATTCGGAGATACCTAATTCAAACTCGCATCAATTCGTAGAACACAACCGGATGACCGCGCATTTTTCTCACTACTGGGAGTCTGCCGATTTGATTTTCGGTAGGTCGTAAACGATTGTGTATGTGCGTAGAAAGGAAGTAACGAGACGGCAGGATGCAGACGACAGATAGAGACACCCGGTATAATCTCGCTTCGCAGATAAAGTCATCCCCGTATCGCGCGGTCCTTCCTGTTGATTCGCTTAGGCCGCGAGATGCACGCGCTAACTCGTGCCCGGAGTTGTTCCTGAGCTTGTGATCACGCGCAACCGCGACCTGCTCCGCCCTCTTTATGTAGATTTTCGAGACTGATTGAAAATTTGATGGATGATTTGTAGGCAGCCTGGCGGGCGAAGATCTATCTCTGGAAGAGGCCACGGAGGACGATGAGTGAGACGGCTACCTCGACCGGCAGGGATCATCGGCACCACCATCACCAAGAGTCTCAGGAACAGGGCACGCCTGGAGCTCCACCCTCCACTAGTCCACCGCGTCATCATCAGGCTCAAGAGGACGCGGACCGTTGCAACGTGTTACAAGGCGGAGTCATACTCTACTCTTCCCCTCATTCCACGTCTTCGGTGTCTTCAGCACCAGCGTCGAGCGTTAACATCTGCAACGTACCAACGTTGACGTACCGTGGCGTCTTCACCACCACTTGTACGCAATCCTCGCCGCTGAACACTCTTCAGAATCAGCAGCAGCCACCCCAACAGCAACAGCAGCAGCAACAACAACCAACCGGTCAGGAGCTCTGGGGACCTTTAACCTCCCCGACCTTGACTTTGACAAATTCACCTTTCTTACACTCCACCCTTCACCCAGCCCCGTACGGCGGAGAGACCGTCGAACTTTTACCGGTCGAATCGAAGCCACCCCCGCCACC